CGCGAGCCCAGCCGGTCCCCGTCCTGGGGTCAGATCCGGGCTGAGCCCCTAGAGGGGAAAGGCCCCATGTCCCCGACTGATTCTCTCCCCTCTCCCCGTGTCCAGGGCTGACGGAGGAGCCAGAGATCCAGATCTCGCCAGTGTGGGGTCCGCCAGGGACGCTGCTGGCTGGGGAGCCAGTGAATGTGACCTGCACGGCCCCCGGGCTGTGCTCCGGGCCCCCTCCCCGAGTCACCTGGACGGGGCCATTCAGCGACACAGCCCAGAATGTCTCAGCCCAGCTGGCAAATGGCACCTGGGCCCACAGCTCTGAGCTCAGCTTCACGCCTGCCCCGGGGGACGATGGCAAAGAGCTTGTTTGCAAGATCACATACCACCCACCACGGGGACCTTCCACCAGCAGAACCGTCCGGCTCCATGTCGGCTGTGAGTGACCCACTAGCCCCTCGACGCCGGCCCCCAGCTCCCTATGCTGGCCTCCCCACCCCTGGGCTATCCCAGCCCTGCCCTCCATCCCCTCCCCAACCCTGCCCTGTGCTGGGATCCCCACCCTCCACCATGCACCCTCAGCCAATTCTACTCCAGGCTCCTTCCCTCCACACCTTGCAGCCCCTTCTCCCTTGGGATCGTCACCCCTTCCTGCCCCCCTTGGCTATGGCTCCCCTCTCCACCCCCAACCTCCCCTGCCCCCAGAATCCTCCTGTGCTGTTATCCACACCCTCCATTCCAATCCCCCCTTGTTGCGATTTCTCCTCGCACCAACCACCCCAGTTCCCCCTGAGATTCCACCAGCCTGTCCCACCGCGTCTCCTCCCCCCTCCCCTTTTTGCCGGGATCGGTGGATGCTCTATAAGGGGCAGAGTGTTAACGGGACTCAGTCACTGTCCAGCACTAAACACATTCCGGGGTTGGTGCCCAGAGACCTCGGCCCACCCTGCCCCGGGCAAATCCCGTTAAATGGCCTGTGACCCTCGTGCTGCAGATCCAGGGTAGAGGGGAAATCAGCGGCCGCCTTTGCGAGGTGAAGGATCAAATCAGCATGAGTGTAAGGACGGCCCTTGTTCCCTTCAGCCGGAGGGAGATTTAGAAGGAACCTGCCCCCCAGTCTCCCACCCGTGTCTGAGCCCAGGCCCCAGTCCGACCCCGAACGTCTACACAGACCTCGGAGGAAACGTCCGCGCTGCAATCAAAGACCCGGAGCCCAAACTCCACGAGCCCGACCGAACGGACCCAGGCTCTGAGTTCCGGGTTTTGCTTTTCCCTACCCCTCTGGGCGCAGCCAGGTAGCCAAGCATCAAAATACCCAGTCCTGGCCAGTCAAGCCCAGGGGCGAAAGGAGAGGGCTGGGGAGAGATGAACTGAGGGAGGAAAGCAAAGGACCCGTGACGGGGGTGTCTGATGTCCCTGGTGGTAGCTGAGTCTGGGGTGGGGGTGTGAGTGGAGTTATTTAGACCCCTGGCTCTGTCCCCCCCTTGGGAGGACACGTTTGAGGAGCAGGACGCTGAATGCCCAGGCGCCTGGCAGACAGTGGCACCGAGATGGTGAGGCTCGCTCCAGTACCCAGGCTGGAGCAGCTCGGCCTCTCGTTAGTGCCTCTGCCAATTAGGCTGAATTTTGACCCACTGGTTTTGGTCCCTTGGGTTTCAATTCCCCATGGTTCTGGTTCCCTGGCGTGGCCCTAACCCGGCCCCTGGGTTCTGTTCGGCGCCTCTTGGGTGGGGTTCAATCGGGTCTGTCACTTCCCTTCCCCGCCCACGGGTCTTGTGCACTTCAGGGACTTTCCCGTCCCCCAGCTGAGCTCACAGCGAGGGGCCATGTCTAGGCTCAGTGATCACTAGTGACCCCCCACCCCACCCGGTGCTCTCCAGCCCCCTGATCCCCCATGTCTGGTTTGTGTTACAGACCCGCCCGGGCCCCCCAACATCACTGGGAAACTGACCAGGAACGGACGCCCTGGTGAGAGGCCGCGCTGTGAGCCCCGGGAATCAGCGAGTGCCTCCTAGTCACGCTCTGCCCA